GTAGCCTCTAGGAAACAAATTTCCCTTAATTTACTCTTACTGTTCACTTTTTGTAAACAATCAGATATGTAACTGTATAACTTGTATAATAAAGTGCACAAAAAAGGGGTGGTAGGAGGAGTGAACACTCATAGGTATCGGCAAATTTTTCTGTGCTCTGTGTTCCCTTCCCTTTTTGTACACCTGTACAGATATAGAGGTGTACAATTGTGGCTGGCGTAACAGGTGTTGTGTAAGATTATGGTGATTAATATCAGCACATACTTACAAGGCCACTAACAAGCCTATCTTAGTTGTCTTGTTTAGGGATTATAGCTTAACGGTTTGAGTTTTTTGTTTAGGCTGGGCAGCGTGCAGAGTGAGAGTGGGGTGTTATAATGACATGAAGATGTTCAAAACATGTTGTTTTAGAGTCAGCTATTCGGAACAAAATTTTCATGTATCACCGGCTAGTTGAAGACAGTGAGGAGTTGGCGGCGTGTTTGGAGATATTCAAGTCAGTCTAGGGAGTGTTAGGGCAGCCTAATGAACTTCTGGGCAGTTTGGGGAGCTTAAGGAAAAGCTCCCCAAAGAGTTGTTCTGAAACTCTTTGGAGGTATCTGAGTAAAGAGTTTTAAAACAATATTGTGAGTTTCATTGCAGTTTGAAAAGTTGCAGGACAGTCTTGAGAGTTTCAGGTCAATTTCGAAGCTCACTCTGCTCGGTAATATGCAAGAGTACACAGATATTTAAACGCTGTTGTAAAACTGAAACACTATTTGACGATTGAATATTTTAGATTGTTTAGGACGAACAAGGAGCAACGGAGTGAGGAACATAGTCAATAAAGTTTATGTAGGGAGGGGAAGTGAAATATTGTACATTCGCTAGTGTCTAGAGGAATAAAAACCCGCCCAGGCTAGGCAGGAAGAAGAGAGTACCCCCCACCACCACCACAACACCAAGGGAGCAACACAAACCCCACCCCAACATTTCCTGTGTGCAAATATGTACACATACTCTCAAACACACCACATAGTGTGTATATATATATAGTGTTGAAAACGTCAGAAAGTTTTAGATTTATGATTCTGGCACGAATCTTCTCTATATTTCTTATGTTTTTTCTTCACTGAAGCAGGAAGTTGAAAAATTAACTCTCTAAAGTTCATTTTTAAACTTTTTATTGGGTTTGACAGCTACTGATGCGCTTCGCAAGGTCACTTCTTGTCCTGTGGCAAACCCAGCTGTCCTGTGGCAAGACCAGCTGTCATGTGGCAAGACCAGCTGTCATGTGCCAAGCCCAACTGTCATGTGGCAAGACCAGCTGTCATGTGGCAAGACCAGCTGTCTTGTAGTAAGACCAGCTGTCCTGTGACAAGCCCAACTGTCATGTGGCAAGACCAGCTGTCTTGTAGTAAGACCAGCTGTCCTGTGACAAGCCCAACTGTCATGTGGCAAGACCAGCTGTCTTGTAGTAAGACCAGCTGTCCTGTGACAAGCCCAACTGTCATGTGGCAAGCCAAGCTGTCTTGTGACAAGTTCAACTGTTTTGTGGCAAACCCCGCTGTGGAGGAGGTTGTCAACATGGCAGCTCCCAGCAAGTCATTTTGCATAACGAACGTGTTAATCATGCTTGTCATTAGCGTGTGTGTGTAATTACCTAAGTGTAGTTACAGGATGAGAGCTACGCTCGTGGTGTCCCGTCTTCCCAGCACTCTTTATCATATAGCGCTTTGTGTGTGTGTGTGAGTGTGTGTGTGCGTGTATTCACCTAGTTGTGCTTGCGGGGGTTGATCTCTGCTCTTTTGGCCCGCCTCTCAACTGTCAATCAATCAACTGTTACTACTATTTTTTTCACACACACACACACACACACACACACACACACACACACACACACACACACACACACACACTAAATGCAAAGTAATGAAACTAGGCAGTGGAAACAGGAGGCCAGGCACAGGATACAGAATAGGAGATGAAGTACTTAATGAAACAGACAGAGAGAAAGATCTAGGAGTTGATATCACACCAAACCTGTCTCCTGAAGCCCACATAAAGAGAATAACGTCTGCGGCATATGCGAGGCTGGCTAACATCAGAACGGCGTTCAGGAACCTGTGTAAGGAATCATTCAGAATCTTGTACACCACATATGTAAGACCAATCCTGGAGTATGCGGCCCCAGCATGGAGCCCGTACCTTGTCAAACACAAGACGAAGCTGGAAAAAGTCCAAAGGTATGCTACTAGACTAGTCCCAGAACTAAGAGGCATGAGTTATGAGGAAAGGCTGCGGGAAATGCACCTCACGACACTGGAAGACAGAAGAGTAAGGGGGGACATGATCACAACCTACAAAATCCTCAGGGGAATCGACCGGGTAAACAAGGACGAACTTTTCAACACTGGTGGGACGCGAACAAGGGGACACAGGTGGAAGCTGAGTACCCAAATGAGCCACAGAGACGTTAGAAAGAACTTTTTCAGTGTCAGAGTAGTAGCAAATGGAATGCATTAGGAAGTGATGTGGTGGAGGCTGACTCCATTCACAGTTTCAAATGTAGATATGATAGAGCCCAATAGGCTCAGGAATCTGTACACCAGTTGATTGACGGTTGAGAGGCGGGACCAAAGAGCCAGAGCTCAACCCCCGCAAGCACAATTAGGTGAGTACACACACACACACACACACACACACACACACACACACACACATACACACACACACACAGGAAGCAGCCCGTAGCAGCTGTCTAACTCCCAGGTAACTATTTACTGCTAGGTAACAGGGGCATCAGGGTAAAACAGTCTCTGCCCATTTTGTTTTTTTTCGCCGGCGCCGGGAATCGAACGCGGGCCACAGGATTACGTGTCCAGCGAGAACATATGTCCATGTGTGTGTGTGTGTGTGTGTGTGTGTGTGTGTGTGTGTGTGTGTGTGTGTGTGTGTGTGTGTGTGTGTGTGTGTGTGTGTGTGTGTGTGTGTGTGTGTGTGTGTGTGTGTGTGTGTGTGTGTGTGTGTGTTTTGCACTGGGTTCTATATTGTGCAACTGGTCAGTAAACATGACTGTTTATCCTGCACAACTATCAAGGAAGTTCTTACTGTCGTATTCTTCAGTTGCCAAATAATTGTGTAACACATTCCGGACATAAACTATTTGAAGAGCATTATTTTGTTCAGGAGGAGGTGGGCTCACCATAGCCCGTGCTATGGTGAGCACGAATCTAAAACAATTTGTTTCTGAATCTAAAACAACAACATGGTGATGAGTGTTACAAGACGTGTGTTGGAGGCAGTGTTGCTTAAGTGCTCTTCTCCTCTCTATTATGGTGTGCTCTTGCTAGGCACATCTATGTGCATATGTGCTTTGGTAGGTGTTTCTAACTATAATATCAATACACAAATCCATATATTATTCATTTGCGGTTAACACACTAAAGTTATTAGTCAGTCAGAATTGATTTGTTTACATATTTAAATATATGCCCATACTAATGTATTGTGGATTCATGGCAGTAGACGATGGGGCATGAAGCTTTGTCTGTCATTACCTGGTGACAGTCTGTGTCTGTCATTACCACCCTGGTGACAGTGTGTGTCTGTCATTACCACCCTGGTGACAGTGTGTGTCTGTCATTACCACCCTGGTGACAGTGTGTGTCTGTCATTACCACCCTGGTGACAGTGTGTGTCTGTCATTACCACCCTGGTGACAGTCTGTGTCTGTCATTACCTGGTGACAGTCTGTGTCTGTCATTACCACCCTGGTGACAGTGTGTGTCTGTCATTACCACCCTGGTGACAGTCTGTGTCTGTCATTACCTGGTGACAGTCTGTGTCTGTCATTACCACCCTGGTGACAGTCTGTGTCTGTCATTACCACCCTGGTGACAGTCTGTCTGTCATTACCACCCTGGTGACAGTCTGTGTCTGTCATTACCACCCTGGTGACAGTCTGTGTCTGTCATTACCACCCTGGTGACAGTCTGTGTCTGTCATTACCACCCTGGTGTCAGTTTGTGTCTGTCATTACCACCCTGGTGACAGTCTGTGTCTGTCATTACCACCCTGGTGACAGTATGTCTGTCATTACCACCCTGGTGACAGTTTGTGTCTGTCATTACCACCCTGGTGACAGTCTGTGTCTGTCATTACCACCCTGGTGACAGTCTGTGTCTGTCATTACCACCCTGGTGACAGTTTGTGTCTGTCATTACCACCCTGGTGACAGTCTGTGTCTGTCATTACCACCCTGGTGACAGTCTGTCTGTCATTACCACCCTGGTGACAGTCTGTGTCTGTCATTACCACCCTGGTGACAGTCTGTGTCTGTCATTACCACCCTGGTGACAGTCTGTGTCTGTCATTACCACCCTGGTGACAGTTTGTGTCTGTCATTACCACCCTGGTGACAGTCTGTGTCTGTCATTGCCACCCTGGTGACAGTCTGTCTGTCATTACCACCCTGGTGACGTTCCCTTATCTTAAATTATATTTGTTGCTTCATGACTAAGACATTACTGCAGCTTCTATCTGGAATGGATCAGTTGTTTGCAGGTGGTGGGGAGCATGTGTGTGTGTGTGTGTGGGCATGTCATGGTAGCATACCCCGTACCATGCGGTAGTCCTGGGTTTACCTCCTGGTGAACTTACTGAGGGATGTTTCTCCCTAATGGAGGGTCTTGCGTATGTCGGCATGGATGAGTGACATTGAAAAATAATTTCGCATCTGGGAAAAAATTCTTTGCCGGGGGGAGGGGGTGGTTAGGAGGTGGTCATGATAGGCTTCCTCCAGAATGTTGTGAAGTCAAAACACATTGAAAGCATATGGAGTATGGGAGCGAGCTGGGCGGGTGGTGGTGAGGAGGATTGATTGATTGATGAAGATTAAGCCAGCCAAAAGGTGGCACGGGCATGAATAGCCCGTAAGTGTAATGGCCCTTTTGAGCCATTGCCAGTATCAATAGATGATACTGGAGATCTGTGGAGGTGCGACTGCACCCTGCATGACGGGAGATGTCTCCCGGGGTGAGGAAGAGGAAGATGTGACCGGTGGTGGTAGTGGTAGTGGTGGTGATGGTGGTGGGTGCGGTACAGTTGTGGTGGCAGTTACAGCCAGTAGTAACGGCACCGCCTCAGTTCCCCGCTGGCCGTCCACCGTGTTGGGTGTAGTGCTGCTTGTGGCTGCCTTGGCCACCATCACCAGTGTGTGTGTGTGTGCCTACACCTCTTCATACTCCCTCGTACACTGCCCAGGCTTCCCTTACGCCTCCACTCTCCCGTCCTAACTACCTATTCACCTCTACACTTCAGGTGGATACATATATACTACAGGTGAGAATTATTACCTATTTCGCAAGTATATCATGACAGGTCAGGAGCCAAATGTACGTGTCAAGATAATAGTTCCCATCAACAGTTTAAGGTCAATTAGTCCATGACGTATCACATAGGCAGTCAGCTATGGGTGGTACAATTCACAGTGCGGTCACGAATGACCCCCAAAGCTGTTTTTGGAAGCTAAGCAACTTACATCGGCGCACAACTGTTTCTGAGGTCGAGTGGAATACACAATAAGGAAATTCATTTTAATAAACTAAAGTCAATTCATAAGGTAAATAAGTAAGAACTAACGGAACAGTAATAAACCAGAGTAACTGTGGCGAAGAACATTAACTTATAAAGTAAATATTTGTTAGTGCATAATGACAATAATAATCTAAAGTAAACTATATATGAAGTGGCCATTAATAAACTATGCAGCAGGCTATAAAGCCTGTTATAACTATGCAGCAGGCTATAAAGCCTGTTATAACTATGCAGCAGGCTATAAAGCCTGTTATACACTATGAAGCAGGCTATAAAGCCTGTTATAACTATGCAGCAGGCTATAAAGCCTGTTATAACTATGCAGCAGGCTATAAAGCCTGTTATACACTATGAAGCAGGCTATAAAGCCTGTTATAACTATGCAGCAGGCTATAAAGCCTGTTATACACTATGAAGCAGGCTATAAAGCCTGTTATACACTATGAAGCAGGCTATAAAGCCTGTTATACACTATGAAGCAGGCTATAAAGCCTGTTATACACTATGAAGCAGGCTATAAAGCCTGTTATACACTATGAAGCAGGCTATAAAGCCTGTTATACACTATGAAGCAGGCTATAAAGCCTGTTATACACTATGAAGCAGGCTATAAAGCCTGTTATACACTATGAAGCAGGCTATAAAGCCTGTTATACACTATGAAGCAGGCTATAAAGCCTGTTATACACTATGAAGCAGGCTATAAAGCCTGTTATAAACTATGAAACAGGCTATAAAGGGAATGAGTGCATCTGTGTATGCACGACGATGGGGGGGGCGGCGTGTGTGTCCTTACCATGCAGTAGTTACGATGCAATAAAGTGCCAGAAATGAACTTAAATTAAGCAACTAAAGGGAACTCAAAAAGAAATATTGTGAGTGCGTGTAGGGAGGGGGGAGTAGAGCGTTCTGCGCTAATAGTGTGGAATTCATTGACATAATTATTAACAACATTCTCGGTGTATTATTGTCCTCTGGTTGTATAGAGGCATTTTATTTGGTTAACTCTTTGTCTTATTCTACATCCCGACGCCAATATGGGATGGAAGCCCAATGGAACAAAATGATTCCATCATTAATAATTATATTTGTAACAAGCACGTTACATTTCATGCAGTTAGTGATAAGTCACTTGCAAATTATTTTTAGATTTTGTAAATATACTTGAGGAGTGGGAAGCCTTATTGTTCATGCGGACCACTCCAGCCTTGCCCAACTCTTAAGTTTTGTGTATGGGAGCCGTCACACATTACTGCACTTCCTGTAGAGAGGGAATGGTCAATACTTTATGTATTAGTCTGACTCCAGGCTTCCCAGACTATTTTGCTTCAAGCCCAGTTGTGGTATTTAATTAGTTTCTTCAGTCTTTTCATACAAATGAAAGGGTTAGGGTAGGTTTGCCTAAGCATCGTAATATAATATATGATAATTGTTGTTGTTGATTGATTGGGGGCGACGACAATCGAGGACAAATGACTAATAATAATGCTAGTAATAAATAATAAGAACATAAGAATGAAGGTAACTGCAGAAGGCATATTGGCCCATATGAGGCAGCTTTTATATTCCCCCAAAATCATTCATATAAATGTCTAATCTCCGCTTCAAACAATCAAGGTAAACCATGTAATATAATAAATAATACAATATGATACATTATAATATAAGTAATATAATATAAGTAATATGGATACAGGGGTCTAGACTGGCACATTTTGTAAGGTAACAAATCACACACATGGTTTCAGGCATAGACGCGATCACACGCTTGGGATTCGCAGTTTCATACTCTGCTAGGTGTATTAGTACCAGCCAAATGTACTCGTCTGTTCGTGGTTGTGGGTGCTTTTGTTTCTTACCATTCAGGTCAGTACACACACACACACAAATGGAATGCATTAGGAAGTGATGTGGTGGAGGCTGACTCCATACACAGTTTCAAGTGTAGATATGATAGAGCCCAATAGGCTCAGGAATCTGTACACCTGTTGATTGACGGTTGAAAGGCGGAACCAAAGAGCCAGAGCTCAACCCCCGCAAACACAACTAGGTGAGTACACACACACACACACACACACATATTAGAAAGAACTTTTTTAGTGTCAGAGTGGTTGACAAATGGAATGCATTAGGGGGTGATGTGGTGGAGGCTGACTCCATACACAGTTTCAAATGTAGATATGACAGAGCCCGATAGGCTCAGGAATCTGTACACCTGTTGATTGACGGTTGAGAGGCGGGACCAAAGAGCCAGAGCTCAACCCCCGCAAACAAAACTAGGTGAGAACTAGGTGAGTACACACACACACACACACACACAGTTTTGTGACTGGTACAAGTTCCAACTTTGTTTTACTATAAATCGACTGGTGTGGTGACTGTGTTTTTATATTTGTAGTTATTAGAAGACTTATACTTGTGTTCTTTTTTATGTGTATATTATTATAAAACATGTTAACTTTTCCGAGTTTCCGATCAGACATCCATCTACTACTATTACTGTGGAACCTCCTTTTTTATTTTTTATTGCAACTGTAATTTCTTACACTTGGCTCTGGTTTTAAAACTTAACTCTATTTTCTCGTGCACTTTACCAAATAGATGTGATTATCTTATTCGTTGGTTGTGTCTCCTGTTTTTACTATTTAACAGACAATCTGAGGTGTTTTACCTAACCTGAAGCATTCAAACCTAGGCTTCCCACCTAGCTTATCAGGGCCAATATTCATTAGTCTTAGCAAGCGTCAATATTATGGTGTTCATAATTTCACTAAAGCATAGAAATTTTGATGTCATGGCTGATAACGTCAAAATTGTGGTGCATTAATTAGGTGAGAGGACATGGCCTAAGTTCGAACTCTTTGCTTAGGCAAAAAACATAAGATTTGACGCTTGTTGACCAGACCACACACTAGAAGGTGAAGGGACGACGACGTTTCGGTCCGTCCTGGACCATTCTCAAGTCGATTATGACTCACAATCGACTTGAGAATGGTCCAGGACGGACCGAAACGTCGTCGTCCCTTCACCTTCTAGAGTGTGGTCTGGTCAACATACTTTAGCCACGTTATTGTGACTCATCGCCTGCATTTGACGATTGTGAGAGCGGGCAGTTCTCCCGCTCTCTTCTCTTCCTGTTTCTCGTGGCAGTAACTGTTGCGTCACACTGGATGAGTTTATTGCGTGTACAAGTCAACCCATTCACGGGAGTCTGCAGTCACAGACTGAGCCAAGTACGGAGGTAATTCCAGTTAGCCGGAGTTTTGTGAACCAATTGACATTTTTGAATTAGATGGATATAGTTTTACTTAGAAAACTGAGAGCTAACACTATCCCTTTGTATTTTATTTTAGTATCGGCTACCGGGTGTGTTTGGGCAACTTGAAGAATTTTTTCCTATAATGTTTTAGGGTCGGTCGGCCAGGAGCCGGTCGGCCGAACGGACAGCACGCTGGACTTGTGATCCTGTGGTCCTGGGTTCGATCCCAGACGCCGGCGAGAAACAATGGGCAGAGTTTCTTTCACTCTATGCCCCTGTTACCTAGCAGTAAATAGGTACCTGGGTGTTAGTCAGCTGTCACGGGCTGCTTCCTGGGGGTGGAGGCCTGGTCGAGAACCGGGCCGCGGGGACACTAAAGCCCCGAAATCATCTCAAGATAACCTCAAGAAGGGTACTGAAGTAGTGAACGACGAGCTGTGCGAGGCGAATGCATTACCAGATGAGGCAGTACTATCTAATTATGAAAGTAATAATTGGGAAGTCAGAGCTACTAAAGCTACTATTTCTACTAAACTGATGACTCTTAAAATGCTGTAAACAAAACCCGGCCAGTACATGACAAAAGTTATAACGAAGAGGTTAATTGTGTTGGTGAAAACTATTTACTAATTATGTCTGAGGAAGAGAATAAAGATCCCGTCTGGTTACTGCTGGCCGTCACCAGCAGACTGATATATGTAGATTGTCTCCATCTCTCCTGAATTTTATATCTCCCCGGAGTACGCGCTATCTTTATAAACTGTGCTGGCTACCGTAAGCACGCTATCTTGGAATTTCCAGATAGCGGGCCAAAAAAAATTTCTGTGCGAGCTAGACTTTTTTTTTTACAATTTTTTTTTAATTTACAAATATTTAACACGTAAAATAATGTAATATAACAAATTTTCAAAGAGGTTAAAGCTTTTACTCCATAATGTTTTCTTTAACAATGTTATATGACAAACTCGCTAGAGTGTATCCAAAATCTTACAAAAATGTCAACAATAGGGAAACAGAGTTAATCAAATCAATAGCTACTTAAAAGTTAAAAATAATTGGAGAGAAGAATCCAAGCAGCAAGATAAGAGTTTTCTTATGTTATCAAATTATTAACCTTTTCTTGATTACAGTTGCAGCTCAGTAGTAATCATTGGTATTAACGTGCGACAGATTCGTTATCTTAAAGATAAATATTAGCCTGATAAACTGGGATAAAACCCAATATATTAAAATTTGCTCTGATTAATTTCATTGGATTGTTAAAGATTATCAAACAAGTAATGAACTTAATAATGGTAACCCGTCCATTATTATTATTAATTGATATAATGTAAGTTTGGATAGGGTACCCTATCCTATTGCCCTATTACGGCATAACCTATGCCCTTATTAGGTAGTGTAGGATAGGGCATTTTAATACAACAGTTTCTTGAAGTTGGGAATGCTCGCGAGATTGGACTGTTTGATGAAGTTTAAATCTATATCAGTATGAGAGAATGTCTGGTTAAGGTTGGAGGCCAGACGCTCGGGGCTGCCCTCATACAACTTTCACACATGACACATGTGGTGTAGGGGAGTGTTATAGGCCAGTCGTGGTAGACTCCAGTGTCACACTTTAAGAAATATCTACGCTCGCTCCCCATTGCTATTTATTTTTTAAGTCAAGTCTGCAATACTGTGTTGTCCTTAAACTTATTTAGCAGTTTTAGCACTTAAGTCATTTTTATGAGAGAGAGAGAGATGGATAGGGAAGGAGAAGGGGAAGGAGTTTTGAAGAGAAGGAAGGAGAGAGGAGAGAAAGGAAGAGGGAGATGTTGGGAAAAAGGTGAAGAGGTTGGAGATTGGGAAAGGGAAATGTCGGTAGAGACCCGGGCGCAGCCGGGGGCCCCTTCTAGTGTTAAATAATAGATCTTTTAAGTTTCAGCAAATTTCGCAAACGAGGCTTGCCTTGAATATTCAAGCTTTTAGCTCTTGAATGCATGAGTATCAAACAGTACTTCTGGACACATAAATTGAGTTACAAAATATTTCAATATTAATGACGACTCATGGTAATTGTGCCACACCCTCAGTCATTTTGTACGCTTATATAGTTTTTTCTGTTTTCAGTTTGAGCTGATGGTCAAAGGTACCAAATGATTGCTTGATCCAACTAATATCTCCAACGTTGGTGCGTTAAAGCCATACCAAACTAAATAGCCTAACCTGCTTTGAACTTTGTATTGGTACATTAACTAATATCCTTAGTTATGCTGTTCTAAGGTTCCTTAACATTACTAGATTGTGAATATTCGTTAAGCAATAGGAAACTTGTATCGTGTAGCGACGTAATAGTTCTAATTAAAGCAATTTAGTGTTTCATTTGACTTACCAGAAATATAAGCACAAATTTATTTTTAGGAATTGGAGTGACAGCTTGAAGGCAGACGATTTATATTTTGTGAACTTTTAACATTACGAATCATATTTCAGATGTTAATATAAATCTTAATGCAGTACTTTAACATAAAAATTGCCAACGATCTTCACAGAGAGCGCCAACAAATATATCCTTGGCGGAACAGGAATGGTTGGGCGCGTTTCCTATCGCCTAATGCACCAGTTCACCTAACAGTAAATAAGTACCTAGGAGTTAGTCAACTTGTGTCCCCGGGGAGAGTCAATAATTCAACCCTGGTGGGGGACCTTGATATAAGCCTAACATGTACTGTATGTATAAACTGGCTGTCTGTCCCCCGACGCAGAGAATTAAAATTATTATAATTAAATGGATCACTAGCATCGATTAGAACTCAAACTACATTTGTGTGTCATCCTTTGCCAACGAACATTTATCTTTATAGAATAAACTGAAAAACAAAACAGCCAAGTCCGGCTACGGAATATGCTATGTTAAAAATTATATAAATTCCTATTTTTTTTGTTTCATAAAAGCAAACATGGACCAACTGGTACAAGCTACAAGTCTGACCTTTTCTTAGAAAGGAAGGACTATGTAAAGTATATGAAAATATTGATGCCCAGTGGCCTAATAGCAAACATAGCATCGGTCAGGTTAATTATACGGTAAAGAATGAGAACCTAAACTCGAGGCTGTCATGTCGAAGATGGTATTCTTTATATGTGTGTTACCTGATCTGCAATACTATTCTCTACCCATTCCATATCAAGACAATCAAGATGTCTCGACTATGTAATCAGAGAGCCTATACTACTCTCCTTTAGTTAATAAACATTTCAAACCACTAGGACTGCTTTATAGCCTAACCGTCTTTTAAATTCACCTGCCCGAAACGCTTTGCGTAATAGTGGTTTAGGCATTGTATGTACTAGCCCTATCTATAAATCTACCAATTTTTGTAAAATCTCTTGTATGTATGTACCTTACCTGAATAAACATTTATTTATTTATTTATTTATTCATTAAATACTGAAAGGGACAGGAGCCTGTCCTCTATGACGCAGATTTTTAAGGTATTGAGCATAATCAGCTGGAACTAATTAGGAGTAATAAGTTAAATAATGGTCTTAGTGCTATTGCTGGTTTTGCGTGCACGTTGTCAAAGTCAATACTTACATGTGCCATTTTGTAATACAATAATAATATTAAAATATCTCTGGCGTTGAAACACAGGCCACCGACTCATACGACACGAGAAAAAAATATAAAAATAATTGGAAAAAATTACATAATGTTTTTATTAATTATCTTTATGATATGAAAAATGTAGTAACTTAAAAACAGCGAGAAAGCGAGTTGTTAAGTGGTGGTGAGTGGTTGGTACTGTATTCCCGCTACGTGGAGCTCTGCTCCTTGTCACGCTTCATTAGTGTGTCATTCTTTACTAGGGCACCCAACCACTTGGGCTGGACGGTAGAGCGACGGTCTCGCTTCATGCAGGTCGACGTTCAATCCCCGACCGTCCAAGTGGTTGGGCACCATTCCTTTCCCCCGTCCCATCCCAAATCCTTATCCTGACCCCTTCCCAGTGCTATATAGTCGTAATGGCTTGGCGCTTTTCCCTGACAGCTCACAGTTCTTTACTAGGACGCGGTGTAATATCCCGGCCGTCTTCAGCTACTAACGCTGGCGTATATTTTGTTCCAGCCCCGTCAACTGGATTCTGGATTCGCGCAAATTCCTGGAAACAATATCGAAGTAATACTTGAGTGTTACCTCAGCCTTCCTTCCTAGTCGAGCGTGACCTCAGCGTAACCACTTCAGTTTTCCTTGACTCTTGCTTCTCGTCGTCAAGGGTCGCCTCCTGACGAGACTTAACTCAGGCGAGTGTCTTGAGGAAGTGCTTTTGGTCAACCCTAGAGGGCGCGGCTGCGAATGACGTTTGTCTCCACTATGGGGTAGGTGCTTGCCTCTGTCCTTTCCACTTAATATATATCTTCTTCAGCCATACAATCTCCATATTTTCTGCTTTGTTGTGATTCTGATTCTACCAGTGGGTGAGTGTACGTGCGTAGTGACTGAAGACCTTGGGTGGGTTGTGAGGACCCAGCAGTAACCTCGTCAAGGTTGCCGGTTGTGGCGGGGGCGGCTGGTCCCCATCCCTCTACACTACGCACACGTCACTACAGTTCATAAGTTATCTCGGCATTTTTCGCATTTTTATCGCCTGTAGTTAAATGTTCTTTGCATTAATTCTTCAATTATTTAACGGTTTGATTTAGTTAATAGCGTCTATCTTGGGCCAAACATGTCGTAGCCAGCAACTGAAGAGAGCGGCTGGTTTCGAACTCTTAAGTGATTTGAGCGAGAGGTGGGTGATATTGATACTGATATATGATAGTGGGTGGGTGATATATGATACTCCCCGTGATAATGACGGGGAGACTTCCCCGTCACGCAGGGTACAGATACACCTCCACAGATCTCCAGTATCAGCTCTTGATACTGGTAATGGCTCAAAAGGGCCACCACTTACGGGCTATTCATGCCCGTGTCACCTTTTGGGTGGCTTAATCTTTATCAATCAATCTTTATCGGTGGGTAAACTAGTTGTGTACTAACTGCAGCATCACTGCATCACCATCCTCTCCCCTGCCACCACCACCACGAGCGTCATCACCGCATGTGATGAGTGTACTGTGGTGGCCAGTGTCCGCCAGCTCCTCCCAGCCTCCTGTAAATGTCAAATGTAAGCGTGTCCGTGTTCTGTAGGCTACTGCTGGCACGTGAGCCGGTGTAAGTGTAGTGGTGTAGCCAGGTGTGGTAAACACGTGAGTAGGTGTAGCCAAGTGTGGTGAACACGTGAGGTGTAGCCAGGTGTGGTGAACACGTGAGCAAGTGTAGCCAGGTGTGTTGGTGAACAAGACGTGTAAGGGGCTGGTAGGGGCGTGGCTGGCTCATGTGAAAATTCCAGCTAATGTTCATTCAAAAAATTATTTGAAATGTTTACTAAGTACATTTCTGTGTACGTAATATGAAGATTGCAACACTAGATGTAGTCACCCACCAGCCGCAACTCTGGCCTTGCGTGCACTATTGATATAACCAAGCGGTGGGGATTAATATAGCAGCAATCCTCCTCCTCCGTTATCTTCCTGTATGCAAAGGTTGCTGATAAAGATTAAGCAACCCAAGAGGTGGCACGGGCATGTTAATGTATGAAAAGTTATCACTCTTCTGAAATATGCGTTGATCTTACGTAGATTTAACGTTGATCAAACATTATTCGATGATGTTTTTTCCCTCATGGTTAATGTCCTGTTGTCATTGATGAGTCATCCCTGCCCGCTAACCCTTTGACCTACAACGTTTTCCTGTCATGAACGAAAACAAATATCGTAGGTCATATAGTTTCGTTAACTTTCATTCGATTTTGGCGAAACGTAGACTAACGCGGGTTGAGCGCCGCCGCGCGTGAGGTGACGAAATTGAAATAAGTTTATTGAGATAAAATACACACAAAGGGATGAGGTAGCTCAAGCTATTCTCACCCCGTTCAGTACATCGTGTTAATACATACATAGACACACATCACAAACAATAAACGTATTACCGAACATTCTGAGAGATAAACATATACATTTCTGCCTTTACACAAGTAGTATGGTATGAGGTGACGAGGTACAGAGAGATGCTTTTGAGCCATTACCAGTATCAAGAGCTGATACTGGAGATCTGTGGAGGTGCAACTGCACCCTGCGTGACGGGAGATGTCTCCCCCGTGGAGGAGATATAGCTGGATCAACAATATATATAAAGGAGAGTGAGGTGAAGCAAGGTGTCTGCAGGGCCAGTAGTAGGCCGCTGCAGTCCCCTTCCTTGCTTCCTGTGTTGTTATGGTGGCTGGGGCAGTGTGCTGGGTGTTATGTCTTGGTCTTAAAGACGGTAGAATGTAAGTGTGTTAGCTGGCTCTCGATAGTGGTTTGATATGTAAAACTCTTGCATCAGTCACTATCGTTGACATAGATTTATACGAGGATTTAGTCATTGTGGTCTCACTTTCCTGGGCACGATCACGACACTTTGGCTTGTATTTTTGTAACATCTTGTGCATGATTATTACTTCACTGACACCACTGACACCGTCACTCTGACATCTTGAACAATATTCTTCTACGCCTTACCGCTCGCCTGTCAAGCGATCGTCCTCTTGTTGACGGTAAATCTCATCTTTGCTAATTTTAATGCATTGTCAGCAACAAACTTCTTTATTTAATGCAAATTTTGTCTTGAGGATTTATTGCTGTATTATTTGTCAATTCTAGCGAGTAATGTAGTTTATTGTACATCAGAATGTGCAACAAAGAACTTCCGAGGAGTAAATGTTGCCCGCACCTCCTGGCGGCGCTCCCGGGCCACCATAACAATGGTGGCCACTCACCCACACTGCCAGAAACACACAATACCTGAACCAAGCAATATCCACAATACAATACCTGCAACACCCATGTAAATAATAAATAATACACATACATATGTCTTAGGCCTAAATCACAACGTAATTCACAATGAAATCAGAATAACGTGCAAGTCTATGAGAAAATTTTGAGGCTATATGTGGGTAATGCGTCTGCCTGAAAGGTCTAGAGTGACAGTTCTGTCCCTCGAATGACAGTTTGGTCCCATAACAACCTCATTTGTTTCTCACAAGACAAATAAGAAGGAAACAATCCCTCACTCAGGTGAGAAACACAGGAGACTCATGAACAAATCCACAAGGGCCGTGACGAGGATTTGTGGATTTGTTCATTTGATGCATCACGTTAGTGTGATCTCTGTGTGTGACAGGAGACTCCTTGACTGGTGAGTGGAGCCATCAAGGTCTATGACATGGTAGAGTCAGTCACCACTTACCAGGTCACCAGCACTTGAGAAAGTAAGTTGGTAGTGGGTAAGAGTCTTGACCTATGACTCAGGCAGGAGAGCTCCTCTGGCAGCCTCGCCGTCTGTTGACATGGGGATAAGCTGCGCAAGGTTGGCACACTTCCTGCCTCCTGCGCACCTCACACCAATAGGTCATATATCCTCGTGCCTTAACTGGGTGACGTGAATATAATTATGAAGCAGGATATAAACTACATTGACAGGAATCTTGACGTGTCGTGAGTCATTACTATAATGGGTTCTGTTGATGATAATGTCACAACCTCGCACTTATCACTCGGTCAACTTGACTTGTTTATCTCTATGATACAAGTTGGCCTCACAATCTACCACAAATTATATGCTATCGATGCCAACGATGCCATTTCCGGTAGCTCGGTGAAATTAGAGTATATATCATAGCCGACTTGGACCAGGTCTAGACGCGTACCGTTATGAAAACCACTTCAAATTAAACGCTTATGGAAAGCCTAAGTTGTGTGTATTCTACATACTGTACTCTACACATGTACACCTTTATGTACATGTGCAGTCTTGTTGTTTATCGTTATATTCATCATCTTGATGAATGGTCGAAAAAGAACTTGAAGTGAATTATTAAAGATGTTATTTGAATTACAATTTTTGGTTTATTTAAATCTGCAATTTATAAAATTTATTTTATGATCTCAGATGTGGTTGACTGGAGGTAGTGTATTCACCTAGGTGTGCTTGCGGGGGTTGAGCTCTGGCTCTTTGGTCCCGCCTCTCAACTGTCAATCAACTGGTGTACAGATTACTGTTCTCTATCATACCTACATTTGAAACTGTGTGGGTAGTAGTGGTTTCATATTGATAGCGGTAGCATGATTGATGAATGATTACATCATTTTGCTAACCTAATGCCACAGAATTCGAATCCCTAGAGTAATGCTAGTTGTAACACAGCTTAGACTGGTTTTGGATAATTAAAACCCAGCTGAAATATCCACACGAAAATGAGGAAAATATACTTTTATTTTCTATATATATATATTTATATATACAAGAGTTTTTACATTTTTGTACAGCCACTAGCAGGCATAGTGTTTCTGGCAGGTCCTTAATCCTAATTTTTCCCAGAATACGACCCGCCAAATCGTTTAACAACCAGGTACCCATTCACTGCTGGGTGAACAGAGGCTACAGATAAAGATTGACGCCCAGTAAATCCTCCCCGGCTAGGATAGGAACCCAGGACAAAGCGCTCGTGAAAACCCAGGCGAGTGTGTTACCACTTCGCCACGGGGACTGCAAACGTTTATATTTGGGTCCGTGTTGGGTCCAGACCCGAGAATAGTTGATGTGCAAACACTTACCTCTCCGTGCCCTTTGAGTATGCAAATTTTGCTATCGTTTGGTAGGTTATTGATGGCCGTATAGATGGTAGTAGTGTTTGGGGTGGTAGTTGTGGTAGTAGTGAGTTGAGGTGTGTAAGTATTTATCAATACTGTATTGACCTATGACTGTGAACGGGAGGCGAGATCTGCCTCTTCACCCCCTTTCCCCCACGTAGCTAAAGTTACCTGGTATATTGAAATAGTTTGATGTTAGATACTCTGTTTTTTTTTACTGGTGAAACTGGCAGCTTCTACGAGTTTCAGTGCATTCAACTTGACCACCGTCCTGCTTAGCCTCTGGTGTTTTATTACCTGTGTGTGTGTGTGTGTGTGTGTGTGTGTGTGTGTGTGTGTGTGTGTGTGTGTGTGTACATATACTGTTTGCCCTCCTGACCATAAATATCTGTCTCGCCAGTTATAAAAACTTGCTCATCTTACTTACTTCCTTATGCCTGGTGCAGACCTGTGTTGGTGAGTGTGGTGGTGGTAGTGGTGGTGTTATTAGTATTATTATTTTCTACCACAGACGTGGCCACACATTTACAATGCTAACCGGCATATTATATATACATTTTCTTATGTCCTCCATGGACAGGGTTAAAGATCTGTTATACATATACATCAGTGATCTATTTAAACAATCAAGCATAGAAGGT